TCACATGCGTCGAGCTTGCAAGCGACCGGACAACTCACCCAGTCCGCGTCGATGGTCATCGGCTGGACCGCGATCGATGAGCAGTTTTGCACGTGATAGTCCGGCGGAGCCGTGATCGTCGTCGACCCATCCTGCAGCCATGCTTTTCAGGCTGCAGCATCCAGGAGCTCTGGCCAATGGCGACGCGAGGCGACCCGACTAATATTAGGAGGCTGGGGAAAGGCTTGGAGCTATCAACAGCTGGCCGCGCGCGACATGGATAAGGTGAGCTGAAAAATGCCTCTCTTCACGTCCGAAGCTGGTGCCTCATGCATGGGACGGCAGTCCGGCCCCAATTGCATTATACCACGCAGGTTGGGATCGGCCCACTGGCAATGGACACGTTCGTGGAGCTGCAGCAAGGTCGGGGAAGCTCCCGGCAGCTCTGTGGAGCTCCAATGCGACGGGAACATGGATTGCGACACGAGGTGAACGCCATTGCCTGGTCAACAGCCGTGCTGAGGTGAATTGCGCGTCCGAAATTACCTCGGTGCGAGAAGCGCCAGGATGTGATATGCTGTCTGGGGTCAATCGGTCCATGGCACAGGGAGAAAAGGGGGAGCTGATACGCGCTAGTGCTCCGTGTCAACAAGGCTAGTCCGCTCCTGGACAGCTCTGCCAAAGCTTCCCAGCCTCCACAACCCTGCGATCATCGAGACGCCGACACAACAGTGATCCGACTGACCGCCAATCTACTTGATCCCCTCTTCGGCCATTCTGACTCCATCACTCCTCCACCTACACCCCGCTACTGCATCCAATTGCGCATCTTCAAGCTGCTGCACGTCAACACCATAAAGCTGGCGACGCTTCAGTAGATCTTTCATCACCAGAAATCTCCAAGTGAGACCCTCAAAGGAGCCAAGAAGTTCTTTCTTGATTCCTTTCGAATTGTTTTCGAACGGTTCGAAGGGTTTTCGAGAAAGAGCGACCCGACTCCGGCAAACTGGATTTTGAAGCACGAGTATGCTCTTTCACTGCGAGTGTATAAGCAATTATGCTAACCCGCGCAGGTTCCGATCCCCTTCAGTGTCTTCCCGTCTGCGTATCGGAACGCGGAATTTAAGGAAACTACCAGCGTAAAGGTAGAAGAACAGGAAGCACAGTTTGAGCAACAGGCTTCACACGGACGGGAAGGTCACGAAGAAACCCACGAATCCTTCTCCGCCACCGTCCTACCTCCTCCTCCGGCTCCCCAACAGCAGCAGCAGCAACCGCAGCAGCAGCACGACACTCACGTCAAGGAAGAGGTCCACATCTACGAAGAGGAGCGTCTTCGTCGTCCCCAGCCTCCCCAGCAGCAGTTCCAGCAGGCTCCCCAGCCCCAGCAATTCCACGCTCAGCAGCCCCCTCAGCACCGTGAGGAGCTACATATCCACGAGCAAACTCGCTACCGCCAGCCCCAGCAGCAGTTCCAGCCGCCTCAACAGCAGTCCCAGCCGCAATTCCAGCAGCCCCAGCCTCACTCTCAGCACGTTCATCGCACTGACCGCGTAGAGTTTGAGCGATCCCACGACCGGTAAGTTCGATCCATTGTTTTGCCAGCGCATCTTCGCACGGATCAGCACAACAGACCAACCCCCTGACTTTAGCGGCACCCAGCCACGCGCTAGCCGCTAACCCCTTTCATCTGTTGTTGTCCTAGCGACATGCAGTCTCCACTTTTCTCTCACCTCCTCTAAGCTCTTCCTTGCCCAACCCAAAGCTGACCTTCCTTTCTTCCTTCAGCTACCAACCTCACCCCCAACCTCCTACCTCTACCCACTCCCACGTCGAGGTTCAGGACACAACCTACGATAGACACTTCAATACAGTCCACGGCCCTGCCACCGACTACGCTCCATCTCAAATCGACGTTACTGAACGTCAGATCCGCGAACGTACTCGTCCCATCGTCGCCGGTGCAAGCTACTCAAAGGAGACTTACACCACCAAGCACGATACCTTCCCCAGCAGCAAGCACGTCGAGAGTGTCGCCAGCCACCAGCCATCTGAGGTACGAGTAGAAACATCTGCTCGTTCCACTGCTGCACCCCCCAAGAAGTTCAAGCGTGATATGGGATATTACGACAACGAGGGCCAATACCACTCGCTTCGTCAAGGAATCTCTCACGCCGCTCACAAGGTTGCCGACCGTATCCAACACCCTATCCACCCTCACCGCCACCACCACTCTCACGAGCACTCTTTCCCTGGTGCCAAGTACGACGACGAACGTGAAGAGGTAATCGTCAAGGAGAAGTACACTTCAACTACTCCTTCTGTTGCCCCTAGCCGCCCCGTCCAATCCGGAGCTCCTGTTGAGAGAGTCGTTCGCGTCCACTCCAACCCTTCTCCCCCCAGGTCCACAGTTTCTGCTGCTGCCCCTGCCCCTGCACCTGCTCCCGTCTCCGCTTCTATCGCACCTGCACCAGCTTCTGCTCGTACAGTCCGCAAGATGGCTTCCTCCAAGACTATCACCATCCCCTGCCACCACATCCGCATCGGCGATCTCCTGATCCTCCAGGGCCGCCCTTGCCAGGTCATCCGCATCACCACCTCCTCCCAGACTGGCCAGCACCGTTACCTCGGTGTTGACCTGTTCACCAAGCAGCTCCATGAGGAGTCTTCTTTCATCTCCAACCCGGCCCCCTCCGTCGTTGTCCAGAACATGCTCGGTCCTGTCTTCAAGCAGTACCGTGTTCTCGACATCCGTGAGGATGGTCGCGTTGTCGCCATGACCGAGTCTGGTGATGTCAAGCAGGGCCTTCCCGTCCTTGACCAGAGCGGTCTCATCTCCCGCCTGACAGACTCTTTCGACAACGGCCGTGGCAGCGTCCGCATCCTCGTCATCGATGACGATGGTATGGAGATGGCTGTCGACTACAAGGTTGTCCACGGATCCAGGTTGTAGAAACATCTAGTCAATGGTAAGTCATCATCATCATCATCAACCCTCATCATCGTTCATCATCTAACACCTCTCAGGTCTCATTCAAACGTTCTATAATCAATTATCCTTTAGGCGTTTGTTTCCCCACGGCCACCTTTTATAAATTGTGTTCATAACTTTTGCATCGTCACTTGACTGGTAGCATGGCGCACTCGGGCATCGATCGGTGTCTATCGCTCTCGGTGTTTCGGGCGCGTCTATGTCTGCTTGCTTGGGTGGTGGAAATATCGGAGCTACATCTGTGGATAGTTAATGAATTGCGTCTCCTTTAATCCTTGTCCATGCTTCGTGATGTCTATGCTGCCTCATCTGTGCCTTGCTATGATCATCTTTTTGTTCATCCGTAGCATCGCGTGTAGTCTAGCTATCCGAGGCTACCCCGCGTTCTCCACGCGGCTCTCCACACGAACATCTTAACACCAACAGCTATATCTGCCCCACTGTATGCGAACGACGTGCGTACCCTGCGCTCCTTCGCGACGAACTTCGCGAACTGAGACAACTGCCCAGTGCTAACCATGCCTCACTCAGACCACTCTCCATCTCCGCAACGCGAGTCATTCCCCCATCTCCCAAAATTTCCAGATAACGTACCCACTGCGCCTCTTCTACGCATATCCCTCCAGAAACTTCTTGAGCACGATGAAGAAGAACAAAACAGGTGCTGGCAAGCATGTTGCGAATTAGGTTTCTTTTACCTCGACGTACGCACACGCAACAGCGACACGAATAATGGAACTACTATCGATGGCGATGCGTTACTCGGAGACGTGGACAAATTGTTCGATGTGATGCAAGACTTTTATGATCTCGACGTCACAGAGAAGACCAAGTACGATTTCAAAGACCAGGGCAGTTACTTTGGTTACAAAGGATACGGCGAAGGCATCGTTGACAAGCAGGGGACGAAAGATAGGAACGAATTCTACAATGTACGTCTATCTTCTCTCTCATGTCTCCAGTACTAATACACCATCTCAGATCTCCAAGGACGATGTCATTGGTCTCACTGACCCCCTCCCCTCCCCAGCAGTCCTGAATCCACATCGTGGTCTATACAAGTCGTACATCACCTCCTCACACGCGATCTGTATGCTTGTCACTTCTCTGCTATCTTCCCGGCTCCCTTTAAAACAGGATATCCGCGGAGCGGGTGGTCTGCCTGCCATCCATCGCTTGAATGCCGCATCAGGGGACCAGATCCGTTTTGTCAAAGCGCCGCCGCAGGAGCAATCGCTCAAGGGCGTGGCGTTGGGTGAACATACGGATTTTGGTAGCGTCACAGTGCTGTTCAATCGTTTGGGTGGCCTGCAGGTCAGGCTGCCTGAACACATATCGCCACTTGAGCCGATGTCCGCGTCTCCTCCACCTACCGACGTGGAGAAGAAGCTGTGTGAAGATGGCTGGACGTATGTACGTCCTTTACCTGGACATTGTATCGTCAATCTTGGGGATGCGCTTGTCAAGTTCTCTGATGGTGCGCTGAGAAGTAACATCCATCGCGTTGTTGCTCCGCCAGGCGAACAAGGCAGTGTTACAAGGTACAGCCTTGTGTACTTTTGCCGGCCCGAGGATGACGTTTTATTGAAGAGTTTAGTAGAGGGCGGATCAAAGGATGCAGAAGAGCAAGTTACAGCAAAAGATTGGATTCTTCGAAGGGCGTTAGGACGGAGGAAGGCAGATGGATGGGAGAAGAGTAGTGGCACGGAGAGTGTGAGTATGAGGAGTGGTGGGATGAGGTCGTGATACAAGGAGTGTTAGCTGTACACCCTTAATGACTATTGGGCGCATACCGATGACCAGCCCTTCATCCCCAGCTGTTGAAATTCGCAAGATAGTGGTCAAAAAGCATCAAGTGCCCGCTATCTTAAGGTGGATGTTACCGTTGAACACGATTAATGTGAACTCATGATTGTGGCATGTATGGAGAAGAAGTGGTCATATTCATTCAACTAGCCCCATGTACCACTCCCTCCATTCTCCCGTCATCCTGCGGCATTGCCGCGGTAGAAGCGAACGGTGGTTCTGCTTATCGCTTGAGGATTGCTTTGCCGAGTTCGACGGCTTCAAGCGCCTGCGCATTCTTTGCGGTTAGTGGGCCTTCCTTCCTCACCAACGCGAGGGACTGTTCGGCTTGGTCGAACAAGTGCTGAGCATCGGCTACTCTCTGCTTGAGTTGTGCCGAGCGTTCCTCTTCTGCAGCAATTTTCCGCATGTACTCAGCTTTATACAAAGCTTTGCGGCGCTGCCCCTCAAGGGTGACATTCGCTGTGAAGTCAGTGTTATTTTCGACCCACTGTTGCTTGCGAGACCAAAAGTCGTCTCGCTCTGCATCTGTTGCCCCTGGCAAGGCAAGGCTTGATATACTCTTGCCTGCCCAATCGATGCTAAGGCCGCCATTCACAGTGTGAGCGCGTAGATAGCGACAGAAGACAACCTCGCAGAGCTGTCCCAGACCGGGGTCGAGGATCAAGCAGATCACGTAGAACTTGAGCCTGTACAAACCAGGCCATTGCGTCTCGCATATGTCGCTTACAAGCAGACTGAGCCAACTAGCCGAGTTCCGGCTTTCGTGGCCTTTGCGCCGCTTTGCGGCGTTCATTGCGTACCCAACATACTGTATTGGGGGTGCTAGGTTGATGCCTTGGCTTCGACAATGGCGTATGCGAGCTCGGCCTGCTACGATCCAGGCGCGAAGACACTTCGCTCTGCTCTCCGAGAATGCGTTTGCGCTTGTCGTGAGATGGCGGCGAATACCTTTTCTCGAATCATCGAGGGACCAGCCAGTGGTGTCTTGGGAATCCGTCGTCTGAGATTCCTCTTCATCGGCAATGCAGTCGATGTTGTACGCTTCGGTGGCATGTGCCACACTGCGCTCGCAGTAGCGCTCAGCGATGTCTAGCATCTGCTCATAATGGTCAAGCGACATGGCGGAGCCGTTAGTATCGGTCAAGGGCCGTACATAGCACGAAGGATGGTATGAAGCGCGATCTCGCAGCTTGTCAATGTACTGTGCGACGTCAGTACCAGCGGCCCGGCTTTTCAGGTAAGCAAGATCAATGTTGCCAGCAATGGTCTCAATAAGGACCTCTTCGTTCATGGAACAGAAAAACCGATCACAGGCGCCTTGCCATACGGGAGGGAACTCGGGATCTTCCATGATACCACTCAATGGCGAGCCTGAGGCGCGCTCATCGTCGAAACCCGCCTTGATCAGCGGCAAGAAACCATCAGTCGGTATTCTCCGTGCTAGGTCTACATAGCGGTCGACGTCAATAAGCGCCATACCAGGCAGCTCGGTGGAGTCGATATCGACATCAGGTAGGAGGCCCGTGGGGCCGGCTGCTGGCACGTTGCGCGGCTGAGCCGGCGTCTTATGGGTGCTTGGGCTGTATTGAACAGCCTGGTTCCTGTTGCATGTGCCCGTTATTTGAGGGCTTCCTGGATTAGCGATCATCGCTTGAGTGCCATGGTCGACACTCTCTTCAGGCAGTGGCGGACTCCGCTCACGTACGTCCCGACTGCGGCCTCGGCCAGTGGGTTCTGGGTATCTATCTCCATCGGAAGGATACCTATGGTCAGTATAACTACCATGATGATCATGTCCTGTCTCAGGTACAGGACTATACATAGCGCCGTAGCGCTCACCGGAACTCGACCTTCTGTCGTCGAGATATGGCGTTGGCGACCTATTAGTCTGCCACTTACCTTGCGGAGGAGCCGCATAGGGGAATTTCGGAGGAGCCGCGGGAGCCTGCCTGTCTAGGCTAGAAACGCCTGGCGCCTCATGTCGGTGCTCGCATTGCGACTCTCGTCGCTGCTCTCGTCGCTGCAGCGTCTCTGGCCCACGAGCGGTATCACGCTCAGCTTTCATGCTCTCTTCCAGATGCGCTATACACCAATCCTCGTTGGCAACCTTCAGCAGGTCGGGGCAGATCTGCTGAGTGTGAGTATGATTGGGGTTGAGTGGACAACGCCCTCGGCATTCGCGCCAGGTCTTGCGGTGGTGTGACGTTGCCGTCTCACCACACATCATGCACCGGGTATGAAAGTGCTTCACGCCGGCGTCTTTCATGACTGCCATGAAATCAGGCGGGCGGATGACATCCGCGTAGTGCCCACGTTGGGACTTGTCATCTTGCCTGTCGCCAGGCGGGCCATCGCCGTTGTTACCAAGGCCTTGGCCGAATTGTTGATGCTGCTGATGCAGCGAAGAGGTTGCCATGTTGGTGTCTTCCATGGTGTTGTGAGTTGTTGGAGGTGAGAGCAAAATTTCAGCGCGGTGTTGACCTTCTCAGTCGCGTTTGATTAGCCAAGGCGCTAGTGCACCAGTCGCGCGTTCAAGTGAAGAGTGATATCTAGGTACGCTTAGGATTGCGCAACGTCGGCAATGTTTCACTTCACCAGTGGTTTCTTTTCGTTCGTCTATTCGGACTTTTTGCACCATCTTTCACATGAGAGACGTTCGAACTCAGTATAGCACCGCTAGAGATACTAAATTCAAATCGAGGTTTATCCTATACAGTGATGTTGGCAGTTGCGCTGTTGTTGTGAGAGCACATACGAGGAAGGCACGCCCGTCCACTGGTCGACACCGCACTCACACTGAATGAAGACAGCAACGATAATGTTGTAGATTCGATCAGTGATAAACTATTTTCAAACGCTCGCACGCTTCACCCATAGGGCGTTACATCATCTACTCATTCCAAAAGACACAATCGGAAAAGACCCCAATGACTTACTGTCCACCCGTCTTCTCATGCGTGCTCATCAAGCTACCAATGAAGGTAGTGATAAGTCTGCTCTGTACGGCAACAATGTCGTCGGGTACGAGCCAGATAGTGGCGCCCATCTTTCGCGCAATACTGATGGCCAACTTGGCGTTCTGGTAGCATTCGTCGTCGTTGCGGCCCTGGTTTACGAGGTCGTAGTCGACGTATGCGGGCTTCATGCCGGCGAGGACATCGAGCAGGAAGACGGCGTTGGCGAGAGACGAGTCCTTGAAAGAGCGGACTTGGCTGCCCTTGCCGCCCTTGCGTGCCATGTCGTTGGCCCACTTGATCATATCCGCGTCGGAGATCTCGCGCTTGCCGAGGCGTTGAGCGAGGCCGTTGAGGGTAGCTACGATGTCCTTGCGCATCAGCTGCCATACCAAACCGAGAGTCAATGTGCGTTGACCGTCGGTGATATCAGCACCCTGGATACCTGGTAGCGAGAACTGGACCTGCTTGCCAAGCTCGACGGCATAGTTGGTATTCTCCAGGGCCTTGAAGCGCATCAGTTCTTGGCCTTCGCGTGGCTTGTTAACGTGTCGCCAGTTTACGCTGCCTGGAATGACCTTGTCGTATGCTTGCAGAATGACTGTGCCGTCCTTCAGGTCCTCGTAGAAGGATTGTACGACCGGCTTGACGTCAAGAGAGTTGAGCCACAGAGTAAAGACACGAGCCTCGCGCTCTCCCGCGGCATCAAAGTCATCAATCTCAGCCTTCTCCTCCTCGGTGATGGGGTCAAGGCAGGGGTGTGTGTTGAACAGGTTGGCGACGAAAGCCAGGTTGAGCTTCGGGTTTCCAGCCACGAGAGATGTAGGTGTGAGGAATTTGCGACAGTCGAGGGCGTCGGCGTTCTGCAGCACCATTTCCGCGCGCTGGAGGAGGTCGGTTTGCTGTAGCGGCGAGCGAGAGCAGGTTTCGGGGGCCAGCTGGTTGAGGAGAACAGTGTAGTTCTCGCCGTCCTTGACGTCGGTCGAGAAGTTGGAGACACTGCGAAGGTTAGCTATGTTGCCGCATTCAGATCATGTCCTTGTCCACGTACGTCCTGTGCCACTTGGCGTTCTTCAAGTGGTAGTTGAACCATCTCAGCAGGATCTGCTCCGGTGGCAGACGCAGGAATTGCTCCAATGTCTCGTCATCTTCCAATAGCCTGTACAACTCAGGGTGCAGCTTGATGTCGATCTTGCCCAGCAGACCTCTCCGGATGATCTGCCAGATCAGACCTAGAATCAAATGCTCGCGTACTTCAATGATATCCCCGCTGCCAATGTTCACCACTGAGCATCCAATACCCTTGGCCGACTCGATGACGATGTTGTTGTTCTCTGTGAAGTGGAAGTTGTTGAGCGACTTGATCTTCTTGCCCGGCTTGTTCAGCACACGTTCGTCAATGGTGTCCGGTACGCTGTCGTTGATGAGCTTGGACAAGACCAGGCCGTCCTTGCAGGCGTCGAACATCTCAAACGTGTCTGTGGGGAAGGGCAGGCGGTCGCCGATGTCTGGGTCGCCGGCGAGGACAGCATTGATGTGGCGCGTAAACTCGGTTCGCTCATCTTCGTTGATGGTGTGGGTGACGTTTGCAGAGGAGCCCTGGACCTGGATCCTGCCGCCACCGACGCTACCTTTGGAGGCATGCCCGGGGTTGGAAGGTGAGTTGACGCTTGAAGCTGTGCCGGCTCGCGGTCGAGTTGGGCCGGTTGACATGCGCTGTTGGGCAGGAGACGAGACGCGCAGTTTGGAGATGAGCTGCGGCGGTTAGCTTCTGGACAGGCCACAGCGTACCACGATGCCTACATCTACATAGTCGTCGAGCTCTACTCTTCTCGAGCTGTCTAGTTCCACCTCTTTTAGGGCTTGTCGCACCACGTCGTATGGCTGGTGCTCCGACTGCTGCGCGGCCTTGATGACGGTTCCCTCGTCGAGGTAGCCCTTGTCGTCGATGTCGAGCTTCCGGAAGGCATCTTGCAGGCCAAAGATCTCGCCCTGCTCGAACTGGGGGTACTTCCTGTGCGCAATGCCTGGTTAGCTACTGTGGAACCCAACGGATGCTGTCAGAGGGAGCTCGCGCCCACGTACTTTTGCAGCTTGATGATGTTCATGTTGGCGGTGCAAGTCAACAGAAGTCAGATGCGGAAGAAAAGGATATACTGGGCGGCAAAGTGACTGCCTGGCTCCGCCTCGTTCTGGGTTGCGCGTTCGATCACTTCGTGCCTCTTGTTTTGCTTACCCGATGACGACGTGGGGCTGCTGCCAAGACGGACACCTCGAGGGGGCAGGTCGCATCCTGCTCCCGGATTACGTACGCACGTCACCTCTCTCCTGGTGTCAGGCTGCCATTGCTTCACAGGTACCCAACTCCATAACAGACATTAACAGCCGCCGCAATTTCATCGCCTTTGTCATGCTCCTGATGCGCGCTTGCTTTTCATCTCTTTACCAATGTTCTGCCATCTTCAATGCCCAAGGCCTTCCATGGGTCCCCAGTTGTTGAAGCGGTGTCCATTGCCACCTCACCCTTCGCTAGAGCCAGTCCTTAGTGTCTACTACGTGAAAAAGCCTCACACAACACATCACATTCAAACAACAATCGCTCAGTGCATCAGTGGAAAAAGAGCTTTTGATTCCCTCATTAACGTCATAAGGTCCATATCGCCGGCTCGCCCAACGAAAAGTAGACACTAAAGCCATCCCGTCTCCTAAAACGCTCAAAGTGGCCCGACGGCTGCCCGTATGCTATTCAGCCCGAACGTACCACCTAGATAAAAAAACAACAGGGCGACATGGCCGCTCTGGACATGCCCGCCAAATCAACATCATCATTGCGTGAACATCCCATCGTGTACGCCTGCATTTTCGTCAAACATGGCGTGCCGTTGATTTCGAAACGAGAAAGAGTACTGGAGTTGTGTCGCTCACGTCGTCGGTCGCACAGCCACGTATATGTGTCCGGTATTAGCGGTGGTGGGGTTGGCGTATGTCGAGCGAGAGCATTATTGAGGTGACAGGACGACCGATATCGAAAAGCTTCCAGTACGCTCCCAAGCTTCAGAAAGGTAAAGGACGTGATTGTAGAATGTACAAGACTTGCACATGCTCGTGCCGCATGCAGAAGTCGTATATCATGAGACTCAAAGCCCAGGACATGGTGTATAGGAACAGTGGTTCCACGAAGCAAATGGTCGTAAAAGTCGTGAATGCCGAAACGTGTTGAGATGTAGACAAGAGATAAAATCAGAAGGAAATGTAAACACAAAGAAATAGGAGGGAGCGAAAAGGTGGCGTCTGGGTCGCCTCGAACCGTTGCGTTCCGATTGGAGAGTGCCTGAGAGATGTCGGGGTGCCATGTTGTGTGTTGCTTCTGAAAAGACCGCTCGCTCAATGCCACGAATTCGCTGGAGATAGAGGCCAAACCGCCTTCTAATGTGGGAACCGGCAGCTGACCACCCAAATGCTTGCGCGAAGGTTATCCCATTACCGTCTGGCACGCTGAGCTGACATGGTATGCGCACGCTGGATGCCAGGATTGGGATCAGCGTAGTTGCCGCCAACCGCGCCACCCTCCATGGTCTTGCGCCTCTTGAGACCGCCCATGTCGTCGCCTTGGACACTGTCGGGGCGGTATGGGTCCTGGTCTTCGTCGTCGCGACCGCGTTTACCCGAGTTGTTGACGCCGTTTGTAGGAGGATATCCTTGACTGGGATATTGCGATACAGCCCCAGGTCCCTGGTAAGCGTCGTGAGGTGCGTTACCGTTGGGACCACCTCGGGGGTCACTCATAACGTTGTAAAGATTGCTAGAGGGCGGTGCCTGGCGCTGCGGCGTGGGGTAGCCCGAGTTCCATTGAGGCTGACCTGTAGCTGCCGACCGAGGCGTGGCTCGTCCGGACCCGTTCTGATGAGGTGATCCTGTCATCTCCGGAGAAAGGTGAGCGTGGTCGGGGTGCATAGCACCTGGAGCACCGTTGGGAGTGTAGCCGTACGGGCCCCTGTTTCCATTGTATGGAGCGCTAGAGTGAGTGTACTCATTGTCGTGGTCATGGTCTCCCTCACTTCCAGCCTGGGGAGGAGCCACCTGCTCACTTCCCTGTGGCATCATTCCATCAGCTGGCTTAACATCGCCCTCATCTGGCACATCGCTGATGCGGGATGGCGGTGCCATCTCTGTCTTTGGGTAAGAGCCGTCTTGACGGTATGCCATCATGGGCTGTCCTTGCGCATATTGGCCTGGTTGCGAGGGTGGTCCCGAGTACAAGGGCCTGGAGCCATCGAAGCTTTGACCAGAGGCGTAGGACATACCTTGCTGAACAGCGCCAGGAGGAGTGCTTGCAGGTGTGGTTGGTACGGAGCGCGTGTTGCTCAGTCCGGTGTCAATTGACAATGGCTGACCGCCCTGAGCATTTTGAACGTTGCTACCGTTCCACTCATAAGAGCTGCCTTGGTTGCCCATGCCCATGATGCTCGAGGCACTTGTAGGAGGAGTGGGGAAGGTGTGAGCTCGGTCGATGCCTGGACGACCTGACGAGGGATGTGGCTGGATAGCGTGCGGTGGCTGAGACATGGCAGCACCAATCGGGTTGCTCATTGAGTGATGATGATGGAGCGAAGGAGGTTGCGACGCCGCCGGACCGGAGAGGTATCGCTGATGTGTCTGCATCTGGTCAGGTCTTCGGTTGCGGTCAACAGCAGCCATGGCAGCGCTTCCTACACTTGCCCTCGTCTGGTTCGACGGATGGTAGAGCAGTGCTCCAATGTCGTGAACGAACAGAGGATATAGCTGCTCGGTGATTTTCTCCTTGTTTGCAAACTCAAGAGCCCGTTCGAAGGGAATCCTGTTTCGTGTTAATACGTATTGACCACGTTCAGAGTTATGGCACCTACCAGACACCCTTGAGATGCATCGGGCCAATCTTAACGACATGGCGCGTCTTTTCGCTCTTCAGTATGCCGTCTCGACGACCTCGGGTCATTCCCGCAACGTTCAGAAGCTTGGTACCGTTGATCATGTGATTGTCTGCAGTAGTTTAGCTTGCCGTTTCTCCAGAAGAACAGATCCACCAGTGCATCTCACCTTCACGACGAGCAACGCATACGCCTTTTGCTTCGACCTGGAAGCATAGACTACCTTCGTCCTCCCAGAGCGTGGCAGTTACACGAGGCTTCATTCCTGGTGGAGCGACCTGGCCAGTGTGATCGAATGTCTGAGATGGATAGCCCTGCGAACCAGCTAGGGATGACGTGGGCGCACCAGAGGACATGGCTGGAGAAGTTAGTCTATATCATATGGTGCGTTCGGTGTCAGACTCACCCGGAAGCTGCAGCGTTGAAGGCACCATTGCAGGGTTCATTGAGGAAGACGCAGGGATTTGCGAAGGAACACCAGTAGGGTATCCGTACGGGTATCCAGGCGGGCCTTGGCTGTACTGGTGTTGAGGTTGCATCATTGAAGACTGCTGTTGTGGGTATGAGTAATGCGACAGACCCGAAGGGGGAGCTGAAGCTGGGGCGTGTGTAGCGGTAGCCATGTGTGGTTGATGCACGTCAGCATACGATTGCATCTGGTTCATGCTGTTGTAGCCGCCTGGAGCAAAACCGTATCCGTCCTGGGTACCGAACGGCGAGCTCTGGACAGAATGCGCGTTCGCGGACTGAGGGTCACGATTGAGAGACTGGGGAGTCTGCTCGGGGGACGGCGTTTTGAAGCCGGAGGTTTGACCGTTGATCGATGCCGCGTAAGATGTCTGGGATCCTGCGCTTCCACCAACCACTGAACCAGAGCTAATGGAGTCACCTCGAGGTGATGAGGAGTTGGACGAGGCGCTGGGATGCGACTGGATCTGGGGCAGGGCTGGCAGACGCTCGTTCGACACTGCAGGCTTGGGCGTGTAGTGGGACTGGTACCAGGTATCAACAGGGCCGCGAGCGTGGACCGACGAGATCGATGGGAGCTCCAGCTTTACGGTATTGACGTGTTTTCGCGTGGACGAGGTTTGTGTTCGACTTCGAGAAGCTCTTCGCGAAGATGCTCGAGTCAGTCCTCTCGATAACCGAGCGTATTGTTGTGCAAGAGCAAGCTGTCGACGTTCACAAGGCTAGATTGCAGAATCTGCGCACGTAACCGACAGACGATAGCTTGCTGATGTTATAGATTGCCGCAGAAGGTTGACGGGGCGAATAATCTTCACCGCAAGTTAGTTGTTTGCTTCTCAAAGGTGAGGTCGGTCAACTGCAGCGGGAACCAACGAGACGCGGCCAAACACGTGTGCAAACAAGACCAACTGGAAATACAGATTGGAGGACGCAGCGAGAGCAGTCAAGTAGGACAGGTTGTGCCGAATCGATCGGGGTAAGAGAGCGCAGTGTTGGTGATGGTGAATGGAGGGACTGACCAGAATGTATTGACAGCGGGCAGACGCGACGCAAAGCTCAAAGCAAGAGTGAAGCTGCGGGACGAAATCGAACGCTGCAAACAATGCTGGATTCTCAAAAAGCTAGTCGTTACGTCGTTGCAGTCGTGAAGCAGGGAAGCGCTGGTAGTCGGCAATGCTTTTGACGCTGGTTTTCAAAACACGCAAAGGGACGAATTGACAAATGCCGGCCTGGAAGAATAGCTGGATATGGCAGTTCGGGATCGAAACATGTGCTGCAGGGTTGGCGTGGGCGATATCGTCGTGAAGGGTCGTAATGTCGTCGCGCTTCGTTAATGCGGGCCGAGCTGTATCGATACTGATAACCGCTGCACTTGCCAGAAAACACTACGCGCAACACGCGTCAGTACTCGTTTGAGTGCACGAAAGAAGATTAATTGTGTTCAGTGTAATCAATAAGCGGCCGTCTATGAGAGGTAAACAAGGAAAGCCAACAGAAAGGCTTCTTCGCAGACTGCGGTGGGGAGGCGGAGGGTTTAGAGGCGGAGGTGGTTGGGATGGGACCTCTGATGCTAGTGCTGGACCAACCAGACAAGGCGACAGATAGGCGAGAGAGCTCGGAAAAGCCAGGCGGCGAGTCCGGCAGCACTCGAGACTGGCAAAGAAGAAGAGAGTGGTTTAGATCCGGTTTACTCACCAAATTCTTCAACGAACGAACGCGAAGAGTGACAACGACGCTGGTGGTTTGCTTGCGTGTGGAGAAGGAAGTCGTTCTTGACGGCGGTGCTGCAGGATTCTCTGCAGCGCTCGACAGCAGGCAGGCCGCAGCTAAGAGGGCTGACCGAGACAGGCGAGCAACGCACGCCCCGCAGGATAGTCTGTTCGAGGTGGCCGCTTCTTTTGCAGACGGCGTGTCCAATGCTTCTACACTGTCAGTGCGCGATGGGCGTCGCTGGCAAGTTGTTCCGTAGAGACAAGCTGTAGCTGCGTGAACGGGCCGGCGCGAGTTTGCAGAAGCGGCTCAAAAGACAGGCAATGCAGTCGAGATGAAGCCGCAGCAGCGCGTGAAGCCAGAAACCGGTGCGCCCAAGGTGCAGCTTCTGTACTGTACCTAGAGACGGGTGGTGGAGATCTTCTGGGGACTCAACGCTGCACACACACGAGCCGCCGCGAGCACACAATCTAAAATCACTTCGGGCTTGGTGGGAGTGTGAGAGGACACGATGGCATGGGGGTGGCCCGGCTTGCGCACCCAGCCTGGACCCGCGAGCAACAATCCCGTGAAAGGCAGGCCGTTTCGCTCAAGGCGCACAGACTCCACCTTGGAGCATGCTGACTGGGCTGATCCGCCGACGGTGCGGTTGACAAGGGCGCTGGATGGAGAACAAGATGACAGGGACAGGGCTGCGAGGCTATACCGCGACGACCACTATGCACGCAAGCGAGCGTGCTGTGGTAGGACTCTCGTGCCAGCCACCACCCTGGCCCAAGAAACACGACAGCAGACGCATCGTCTTGCACGCTCGTTGCCACGGATGCCTCTGGGGGACCGTGGGGAAAGACGGCTATTCCTGCTCATCGCCCTCGATACAGTACAGCTTCCAAGACAGTGACGATGACATGACTGGCAAGGATGGTGGGCTCCAAGTTTAGCGGGCGCCTACTTTTTTTCACCAGTGTGCCGCTTCCTGAGGCATCGGATGGGCTCCCGATGGGGATAACACGGCTGAATAGATTGGGGCCATTCAGAGTAGCCGGAGATATTTGACGCGCTGCGCAGATACACCTAGTCAGTGATGAAATGATAGGGAACAGTCTGGCAAGGGCTGCAGGCTTTGACTAAGCTGCGCCGGACCGCGTTGATGCGGAGCATGGCCCAGAAACGCATCCCAACAAGCGATCGGAAAGCCCCAGGTCAAACGTCTGGGTCCATATCACGCACAGTCGGCTGGCGGTGCTGAGTGGCCCGGCTGGCGCGATGATTTGCACTGCTGCGAGTCAGAGCGGGACGCTTGGTAGTGCTCACTGAGACGAAAAAGCAGAGAGAGACACTGCAGCACTGCCGGCCAGCCACGCTCGCTCTGAAACGGGCTCAACTGCCGCGGCACGCCCGCTATGGGCTGACCCAATTTCGTCATCTCTTCCTCCTTCACGGCGGCACTCGATGCTTTGGGCAGGACGTAAATGAGATTGAGCTTCCTGAGTGTCTCTCGACACCCTGACGCCGTGCAAATTCCCTACTCAGGCTAAATGGGCGCCATCCAACTGTCGCAGGGATGCGCCCGAGAGCGAGCGGGATAGACGGACGGTAGGCCGTGCAAGCCAGCTGGCTGTCTGGTCTGGTATTGGTCAGACGTAGTATGATTGGCTGTGTAGTCGACGGTATGGACTGAGACCAGCGTCTATCACTCTCATGAGCTTATCCACTCAACAGTCTAGACACGCAAGACATGAAGCGAGCATGTGAAGCAAGTGCAACGTGGAGACTCGAATGTGTGCGACAGCCATGTCATGTCCGCGGCGTCGACTATCGATGCTGAAAGCCCTCCACACTGCAATCGAAAGACAAACGTGCCGACAGTAACACAGGCTTAGGCTTGACGTTGGATGTGGGCGCCGCAGGGTTTGATAGGATGTGTGCTAGTTGCGGTGAGTAGATGCGCTGGCGACGCTAGCCATAACCAGCCTTGCCAAGTCATGGTCACGCTTTCTTACTGCGCCCTCAACAGCCACCCGCACTACCGCACTGTGAGTGCGACTGAATATTCATCGTCGTGTCTCGCGGTCGGAATTTCTCGACCCAGTATCCTGGCCTTGATCTAGCACAGTACCACAAGGGCACTCTTTTCCGCCAGCTGAAACAGCAATACGGCCAGACGCCTCCTTCGCCGCAATCCTCAAAGCGACGAACGCCCGGCGATGTCACTGCGTCACGGGACTCGCAGCACAGCGCACGGGAGAATCCGCTTCCATCCCTGCTCAAACCATGCGAACGGTGACAGCCTCGACTTTGGTACTCAAAGCAGGCCCAGCCACTTGACAGTTGGCACCTGTCCTGCCCATGTTATCGCCTCAGGCGCCAAACCAACTGTTCGCATCCATCTGATCCCCCTGCTAGCTACGGAGCGTACACTGGTGCTCCTACGACCAATCCTCCCCGTGTTTCCTTGCAACATGTGGTCTGGAGTCTGGTCGAGAACAACATTCCCGCACACCTGTACCACTACTGATGGTATCAGATGAGGGCTGTGGGAGCATATCGCATCATCAGTCGATCCTAGCCAACATTAGACAAACCATGTCAGGAACTCCACTACAGTCTGGTGGCACAATTGCTGGTGCTTGAATCACATTAATGGTAAACGGTAGGACTAGAAGCTCAAGCGACCCGCACCGTATTACCATGTGCAAGTCTTCATTCAAAGAGCTATGCGCACTATCTCTTTACTGAGGCGCAGTCACACCCTCGCCGCGTGGACTACCGTGTCTAGCAGATATGCACAGGTGTAAATAAACGTGCAGTGCAGCCGGCGCGATGTGGGAGCGGATCGTGGAGAAAGGCCCGCGCCTGTCTCTACCTCTTACTTGCTGACCACCACTAGATTGGCAATCGGAACCGGCAACATAGCGTGTCAGAATAAACACAGCCTTTGACCGATCTAGACAATAGCCCAGAAGTGTCTGCCTCTCAGCACATGACAAACGTTCTATTCTCGATCCTCCGACAGGGTTCAAGGGAAGGGCGACTCCTGTTGTATCAGCCTTAGCTCCCTCGAGCATTGTGTTCTCGTGTAGTGGCCACGCAGTGGGGTCTGTGTACATTCCTGTCCAACTGGCAATAAAGCGCAATCTGGACTCGGGCCACAGTTCTCTGTATCCCCGGAGGAACGCGTGCCATACATCCGGTCTACATCGACTAACGAGCTGATCTCCTTCTCATTCAAGAACGTGGCTCTAAGGAAAACAAAAACCCTTTACGGTTTTCACGTTGAAGACCATCTCGAACACCTGTACGAACGTTCCTGCAGCGTGAGGCAATCCCGCGATGCGGCCACGCTTGGGACAATCTAGCCGTCGATTGGATAAAGCCGCGTATGCAGCAAGCCGCACCTGCATATGCATGTGATGTAGGGTATCCCTGCGTAGTCTTAGCCAAGCTGGTGCCCCTCACCTTTCCACGATCATAGCTCGATCGAACTGTTGGAAGATGGCCTTCACGTGCGGTTGCACTGACAATCTCACGTCTCCGCTTGATAGCACACGAGTGCGAAGCCACAGTCGTTGATACACTGAAGGATATTGAGTTCTACCGCGACGGCCACTCTCGAGCCTTTGCTCCATATTGATCAGCATCACATCCTCGCTCAAGCGTTCAGATAGGCGTCGGGCTACCAATCACCATTGGCCACGTCAGGAGACAGCAGAGCCGTTATCGGGGTATCGACGGAGCAAGTAAGCCACGACCGCTCCTTGCAGCTCGTGGGGTGTGACGTCCCTCTGCGATTGGTGGGTCGACACGCTCACCGGTCTGGCTTCATGGGTTTTCGCCCCACCCCTTGTCACGCTCTATGGACGACTCGCTTGTTGCGACGTTCTCTAGCGTCTTTTCGATTACACTCCAGATGCTCTTCGATGCTCAACAAAGTTCGACAATGAACAATCGAAGTGAGGGGTTCATTGTTCGGTTGAGACGACTACCCGTTTTGCCGGCAACAAACATCTTCTACAAGCGAAGGCCTCACCGCTCTTCTATTCTTACGTCTCGGATCTTCAATGGTAGGCGGAAGCAATCTAAAAGCTTGCTGGCGAGCTAGGGTGAGGTAGACGGCGGCCGTGCTCCCCCACTGCGCCGCACGCTCAGTGTACATCCAAAATGCCGGCAGCGACACGTTGAAGTCGTCACTCGAGTCAGGATGTGGACGGTAGGCAAATCTGTCGACTTCCGCCTCCATGCAGCATCTCAACGGCAGCCAAAAGCAGGTTGCCATCTCGCAGCAGCAGAGTCGCTTGTTGTTAGGGCGGCGTATAGCCCGCACGACATACCTGCGTGCGTCAATTGTATGTCTCGCCACAATTCAGGGTACACTACAGTATGCCCCACGCTATGAAGCGAATCGTGACTATCAATAATTCGGTTTGAGGAACATACGTTCTAAGAAAGGCCTCAGCGCGACTATGCATAGACAGCGATGGATTTCCACGGGTGCATTCAACCTACCGCGGCGTCCTTCGTGCATTGACCGTCAAACCCAGCTGTACGGACACATAACGTCCCGGTATAACACTGCGGAAGCGGCTGTATGCACATTCGCATGGCCGGTTTCAATATCGATGCGCCATAGTTGGCCTCTTGTTTATCCAAAGACGCACTTTCGCCGGGCAACAGGCGAACAGATGACGGGTGCACGCGCTATAGCGCTATCTACCAAAAACACGCCATCTACTGTGTCTTCTCAATACCATGGCCAGCTCGCTAAAGAAAGCAAACAATATCACCCGCGACCTTGTCAGCGGGCGGCTGGATAAATCAACATATTCGCTTAGAAGCATTGTCAATATACCTCAGCAGCATCGGCAATATGACGGTATTCTACAGATCGCGTCCGAGGGTCTCTGAGAGAATGACTGGCGCGGTTTTCAGCACATCCTCGTTTCCTCAGAGTCCTTGAGTCGCCTAGCGTATTCTGATAGGTAATCAAGACTAGCAGGTCGTGTTGTCGTATCCGAGCAAAGAAAAAAAAACTCAAGCCGAGTTGCTTTTGGCCGAACCTCTAATCCGTCGCTATGCGAGCGGACTACGCACCGAATTCAACGGGCTATGACGCCCAGGCCCAGACTAATTCACGCCAAAGCGTTACTAGAGGTTAGATACGCGTCAACGGTGGACCACTCGCAAGATCCTCGAGCTTCTCCATCGCTATCCGAATACACCGAAAAGAACGTGCTCGACCTGCCATCCCGGGATACGCCGGGGTGGCTGGAAAACATTGGCTGATCCGTTGTGAAAATCTCTGCATGCATTGCGGGCCGAGATAAGTCGCGCTTTGATCGTGTCGCAGTCAACGGTCGTAGTTCATTTGGTCACGTTGAAGTTGTTTGAGACTTGCGCCTGTTTGTGGCTGGGTTCGCATTATGCGAACCACGGTACCAGATGGCATAGCGCCATGCTACCATCGAGCTCGCATGTAAATTTACGTCTACACATCCTGCGAACACCAATACTAGGTCTATGCCCATTGACCCCGCACCAGAGACGGCAATGTCGGATGTTGACCACCGACTTTCCCCACGCGTAGGGACTGTCCTGCCCCAAACGTACACGCAGGAAGTGCGTATCCACGCATTGGGTCCCAAGGCTTTCCTTTGTTGACATCAACGAGATGTAGTGATTTTGGAAAACAACATCACCGTTAGCAGCTTCGTTCCAATTCGCGGAATGTAGCATTCTCCGATAACCTCGGCTTGCATTACGTGTCTCATTGCAACATCATCATTCTATACGGCCGGCTATTGCTTCGCCCCAGCACACTCCGAATCACTGTACCAGATCCATGAAACAAGCCTGGCTAAAGCCTGAAACACACAAGTTCTCAGTGTTTCTACTACGGTAAACCAGCACACTCCTCGTCCGCAATCTCCTGCGAACATGTGTTGCAGATCAAACACTCGATGTTGCAAACTAGACGATGTCATGTTCGAAAGCAGGACGGGTGTATCCCTCCTGTCGAGTAATTTACGTGCGTCGCGGGTCGGCTCTGCAGATTTGACATGTTCGGTATGTGCTCTGCCTGCATTGCAGAGGCGTGCATGCGCAGCTTGCTCGTGTCAGATGTTGCAGGAACTATGCAGCGGCAACCTTGCTCGTGGATGTTGTAAACATGTAGACGGCTGGCATCACGTGCAGTGAGTTTACTCGCATGGTTAATCTGGCAGTGCGCACAGCGTGTCATGCCTCTATCACTTACTGTTGCCTCTAAATGTTTGGTCATATTATTCTGCGAGTGGCGATTCCAGTCCGTCCATCCTTCAACATGAGAACGTGATAGTAACAGAATGACGAGTCTTGAGTTTTCCTGTATGTGATGTCTGCGGGAGTTTCGACTATCCGGGCCCTCATTCGACAAACATCGAGTTGCGCCTACTTCGATAAGCACGAAACACGGGCAGCCCCGCATAATGTGCGCCTCCGCGCCTCCGTCTATAGAGTAGAACTCCTGTGCTCTCTCAGCTCCATTAGCAGGCTCGTAATTATAGTCATCGACTCTGCATCATCGAGCAATGATCATCACATCGATACTCTGTCTTGTCTTTACACATTTCTTCGTCGTAACCCCTTTCTACCAACTATCTCGCAACTACCTCTCCGCACGCAAGACTGGCTTACGCATCATAATCAGCCCAATCACCCCACATACCCTTCAATGGCGACTACTCACCAGCCTTTGCGGGTCGTATTTGCAACAGTATCGATGGTTTCGTGCCATCGACTGGACATGTTGTTGGCAAGACAATGACAGTTTACATCAAGAGCTAGGTCTCTGCTTCATTATCGTGGCGCCAGGGCATAATGTACTATGTACCAGTGATCCGAAGACAATTGAACATGTGCTTAAGAAGTGGAGGGAGTTTGTGAAGCCTGATAACGTTAATGGTGAGCAGTACAACATATGAGAGATAGAAGTTGATCAAGAGACTTATTATCAGCTACAGAGATTCTGGGCACTTTTGGACAAAATGTGGATACGGTATGCACCTTAACCTCCCTACATCAGCAATTTTTGTTGTTGTATTCATGTAGGCGTTAGTGTGAACTGACGTGCAAAGTCAAACGGTGACGACTGGATTCGCCATCGCAAACTCACAGCGCCATGCTTCAACGAGCGAGCCTCCGCCACTGTATGGAGCGAGTCAATGCGACAGTCGAAGATCATGATAGAGCAATGGCTCTCGTCATCAGATGGCAAATGGAAAAGCATGATCAAGGATACCAGTACTTTGGCACTAAATGTCATTTCTTCAGTCGCTTTCGAGAACACCGAAGTCAACAAACCAACACCGGGTCACGCATTGTCACTCCGCGACACGCTGGTGACAGTCATGAGTACCTCGATCTCTCCAACTATGGAGGGTATTCTGCCCTTCTTACAGTTTCCAATACTCCAGTCGCTACTGCCGAGCGATGTCAAAGATCTTTTACAAGCTATGAACGAGTTCCGACAATACATGAATGAAATCATAGTAACAGAGCGAGAAGCGATGACGAGCGGGCAGACTAGAGTATCTGCTCTTATCAGCACACTTGTTGAAGCTAGTGGCCAAGTCAAGACTGAAAGTAGAGCGTCAAAAGCCAGACTCTCAGATACTGAGCTTAGAGGCAATATCTTCGTCTTCTTGGTCGGTGGTCTGGAGTCTACGTCCATCACTCTTTCGTATGCGATAGCTTTACTGGCTGTGCATCCTGATATCCAGGACTGGGTGGTGGAAGAGTTGGACGAAGTACTGAGTGACAATGTAAATAGTGAGATGGAGTATGTCAGAGTGTTTCCGCGGTTGAAGAGGGTCATGGCTGTCATGGTACGTCTTGATTTGTTGGTCGCTCTTGCTATTCCAAACCCTCCACGTATAGTTGAATGCTAATGATGCTGCAAGTACGAAACGCTACGTCTCTACGGCCCTTCACCACCTCTTCCTCGGTCACCTTTTCCAGCTAACTCTCAGCCTGCCGTTCCAATGACACATACCAGCACCGAGGAAAGTACCAAGTCTACAAATCTACCTGCTAACACTCAAATCATGCTTAACTCTTGGGCCTGCCAAACCTCATTTACAAATTTCCCTGATCCAATCACGTGGAACCCGAAGCGCTGGATTCAACCACACCTCTCTGAGACCACCAAAAAAGCTCTTCCAGCGACTCTAGCTGCAGAAGAACTGAAGCACCCAACGGGTGGTAGCGGTTTCGTCGCTTGGGGTACTGGGTCGAGGATATGTCCTGGAATGAAATTTAGTCAAGTGGAGTTTTGCAGTGTACTGAGTACCGTTTTGAAAGGAACCAGAGTGGAGACAGTGTGTGGGGAAGACGAGGAAGTGAATACGGCCAGGCAAAAGGTGATGGACATTCTAAAGGACTCGTGTGCGGATCCGCTGCTGCTGCACGTGAGACAACCGGAAAAGCTGGAACTAAGGATCTTCAAACGCTGAGGCATATCGATGGGTTTAGCCTCGAGCTTAGGAGTCATTGAGTCCTGGCCAGTATATCTCATCGATTATGGATGGTCAATAACATGTATGCGTCAAATGATATTGTATCAGTCTTTACCAAATCTAAAGAAAAGAGCGGCAAATGCAACGTACAGTACTGAGAAACATGACCTCCGCTAAGCTGAATCATTTGTAGTTCTTCTCTCACGAAGTCTCGCACCCCATACGTCTACGTTCCGACGGGTCGATGCCTTACCTCGTCTCGGTTTCCATACGCTCATAGTCGGATCCAGTCGGCCCTCCATCTCTTTGTCGCTCAACACGCCTTCCACAAACTTCCAAGTATCCGTCACGACGATGTACTCGACTTTGTCCCCAGTACCATGATGGCTCCATGTTTCTCCACCTAGCTTGCTTGTGCCCTTCCATTTCCATTCCTCTAGTGCCGTATTTTCGGCACTAAGGTATCCTTCCAGCTTGTTTGCTTGAAACATTTCGCCTTCCCTTCTCACGGGAAGCTTCCATTTCTTGTTTCGTTCGACTATGCGCATCATCTCTTCTTTCTTCCAACTGAGTGTTTCGTACTCAACCTTGAGTACGCGGAGCCCTGGATTTCCTTCAAAATAGCGCAGCCATCCTTCATTCATACGGAGTGGTTCATTGTCTTCCCAGAACCACCAGTCTGAGTATCGGATGGTGATAGTAAGCTGAGTGGGCCGGAACTGCGGTACTGAAAAGAGATAGAATAGCTGTGGCCCGTCTTCGAGCCAGAACATTTGCGTGAAGAAACGTACTTTCTGAAGCGACTGCGCCGCCTGTGGAGTCAGGTCTCTGAAGAATCTCTCGCACGCCGGGGTGCATGTGCGGCCACTGGGTCCGCGGTCTGTACCATGAATGTCAGTTTTGGCATCCGATAATAGAAAGAGACAGCATACTAAACCAGAATGCGTACTCCAATTCTCTCAGAAACACCTTCTGGCCTTCCGTGTACGCCAATCTGCACGTGCGCAAAAGCGCACTACTACCCTTGAGCGGTCCTGAGAAGCCCGGCCTGTACCAGTACGAGTCTTCCGGATATGCTGCTGCGTCGTCTTCATACTGCATGAGTGCCAACTCGAATATATTATTACGGATCTCGCCTGGCAGGACGTCAAAGAGTGGGCTTTGAGGCTGTAAGTTGGAGGGTAGTGAGATAGGACTAGACATCATTGTGAGAGCTGCACAGGGTTATCGCTCAGGATTTATCGTGGATAAGAGTCGTCTGAAGGACATGATGAGTTTATGTACCGCAGTCTGGAGGTTGTAGCATCAGGTCTAGGCTGATGGTTGCCTGCGGCTAGTGGGGCTGATCTGATTAGCGGCCTTGCCCAAGACTTGTAACCAATAGACACCCGCTCTAACAGCCGCAGACCCACAAGGTGGTCGAATGCAGACATCCCTTTGATGTCGGTAAGGGATGTTGCGGTAAAAGAGAGGAAAACAGTATCCCAAAGGTCGATTCTGTGTCCTTACCAGAGATCGGGGGTACGGAGAGAATATGCAATGAACAAGGTGCGAATATGATGAGTACCTAGGTAGAACTGGCATTATCACTGGACGATATCATGCACTTTGAGTCAAGAACGAGTACCTTCCAAGGTGTAGGACAATACGTGGTGCAATTACCGAAGGATTTACTACCTAGGTAGTACACACATCACAGCGGGGAGAGCCTGAACTGTCTATGCCAGGTTAGTGTATCCAGAACGACAACGTTGTGGGATCTGGGAAATGCTGCGAACTCATTACACACTGGTCCAACTGCTAGATCAGTATCATGAATGCTCTGGACAACCAGGTTTGAAGCTTGTTCAGCTGTGGGACGATGCATACGATCACCTATATGAACATCCGGATGCGAATGACGCTGAGTATGCCTGTGAAAACGATCAAAAAGAATGGCGACAAGTCTTCGAGGTGGATGATTCAATATTTGAACGTGCGAAGAGCTATGGCATGCGGGTAGAGAGGGTGCAAGATATAACCGCATGGAAGAAAGGGCAGGGTGGTGTAGACCGGTAAAGACAAGGCGTGGGCACAGTGAATATGAACTCGCTAACCAGCAGCCGGGTAAACTCTGGGCGAACGAGCAAGCTTCGGGGGTCGCAAAGCGAACGATGCTTTCGGGTGCAATACAAGAATCCCGAGTGGTCGCAGAGCTGGGCTGTTATCGTGAAGAAGTTTGTACAAGCTACAAGTTCATGCAGCGAACTCCACACCATACCGTGGTAGAAGCCGCCATCACGTAACAATAAATGGATGCAGCTCAGAACACAGCCAATATACGCGTGCTGAATAGTAACCTCTACATACCGGTGCCATAGTATATTTTCCCCCTATCCAGGAACGTGGATCTTGTATTGTAGCCTAGAGGTCTTCGCCGTGGAATCGCATCTTCAAGTTCTCTATGGTGCGGTGAATACATCCGGTTTGGACTTTGGGTCTCATTCTTTGGTACAGTGTGCTACGAACATGGGAAAGTGCGTGTCATGGAGCAGCTGAAGCGCAGCAAAGACCTTCTTCCCACTTTATGACTGTTCAAGCTTGTGTATTACTGTACTGTAGTTAGCTCGCTCGAGTGCCATATAAGAGAGAAATCTACGCTTCCTTCCTTCTAATCAACACTTCACTCTCATACCACTTCGCAATACTTGTCTACACTCTCTTCAAGTACCAGCATTACCAGAACCCTGACAAAACCTAAACAAACCATCAACACAAGGATGTCTACCTTTACACCATTCTCCAGGCTCCCCATGGAGCTCCGTAATCTCGTCTGGCAAGCGAGCAAGCCCACGACAGCAACCGTCGAATTCGACGAAGATGAATACCAGGTCACAAGCATTTCACCACCATCCGCCCTTCTCACCACCTCAAAAGAAGCGCGGGCCACAGCGCTATCCTTTTCTCTCCAAAAATTCTCCATCTGGGGCCCAGAAGACTGGGAGGATCTGGCCGTAGATCCCGAGAACACGATCCTAGAGATCGTCATCAGACCGTCAAAGTCCGCCTCTCTAAACATCACATGGGCCGACATCTGGGGTGTACTGGGCGCTGTACTACCAGCCACAAACCGCCTCCACATCGTATGCAGTAAGCCTGAGCGACTAGTCAGGCTGTATATGGCAGAAGAAGCAGAGTACCTTGGTGTGGGCCAATCCTGCGTCGAAGGCGGTTTGTTCAACAACGCCGAAACCGTTTCGGGTGAGCGAAAAACCCGTGAATCACTACATGCGCACCTCACGGTTACTGCTAGCAAGCACACCGTTGAAGAAATCGACCAGAACGCCTCTGAAAAAGAGGTTACTGTTTGGAAGATCACCGACCAAGACACTTCGGACGACTTTGGGCATGAGGCCAAGATTTCCACCACCAGGGGCTTAGCGCGCGTTGAGGTCGACAAAACCTCATACCTGTCTGTAGAGCAGCTCCACAATGCTGCGAGGACCTTCGCTCTGCCTGCTCGAGAGGGGATGGAAGGGGAGGTGTCAGAGGAGGTATCAGGGGGCGAGGAGGGACAGGTGGTAAAGTCAGGGGTGGAGCTGACTGAAGATGCTGTTGCGAAGCATCTGGAGGAGTGTGCAAGACTGTGGGCGCCTAAGCCAAAGGACGTCAACTGGGACCCGGAGGGCAGCGTTGCAGCCGAGGAGAACGACACCGTCTGGAAGTGGCTTATGTAGTAGTCTCGCGATACTTTTGGGTTGGCTTTGGCAAAGGAGAATTACATGACTTACTCCTGGCTGAAGTTTAGCGCTTCGATTTGGCACTGGTGCGCGATGCGAGATACTCCCTGCACCATCATTGGCCGTGCTTGCATTTTGTCTAATAGCAGTCTGATTCGAAACACCTCATCTTCTGATATCGTGACATCTTTTATGTCTACACTATCGGGTTATAAAACCCGAACCTGTTCTCTGGATCCCACTCATTCTTCAGCTTGGCTAATTTCGTAAGCCTGTCATCGTATCCATACATCTCGGGCTTACTCTCCTCCCCATTAGCGTAATTCACATAGCAGTGTCGTTTTTCGTCGCTCTTGTCAAGGCCCATATACAGCGCATTGCGCATCGCACGTGTATATGCATAGGCGTCTTTAGTCGTCTGCGCATCATCGCCAGCCCACCACAGCACTGGAGACGCGAGGATTGGATACTCACGTTCCTCGGGTGGCATTGCCGTGGAAGCTGTTTCAACAGCCCGTACACCTTGCATGCCGTAGTTCTCCAGCAAGGTGATGGAAGTATTAAAGCGGGGATCGGCTGTGATGTTACCGAATATTGTGAATGCTTTACGGACACCTTCAAGATCCCAAGCAGGTAGCGAGACGCCGGCTCCTGCAATATTCTCGTTCCTCGTACAAGCTTGGCTTTGAAGATTGTTTCCAGTCACCGTATAAAGCTCTACGTAGTCGACGTCCGTCGATACTGTGGTCGATACTGGACCGAGCGCTTTGAAACGTAAGGCGTATGGTTCAGCTTCCGCTTCCATGCCCTCGTATATTATATTGTATGCGACGACTGGCTAGTGGAGAGTCAGCATCTGGTACTATGACGTGGGACCGTCTTACATTGATGGGATCGACAGCAGGTATCCTCACGAACACTCCTGTAAGTGCTAGCTTCGTGGGACGTTTTATAGCCGGCTCTTCAAACTCGTTGATCAGCTGGAAGAGCGCCTCAACCTTGTCGGCCGTGAAAACGAGTGAGTAGACAGTCCAGTTGGAAGGGATATCATAGGTCTGGACCTCAAGGCTAGTCACAATGCCAAAATTATGTCCTGCTCCTTGCAGGGCCCAGAACAAGTCGGCATTCGTTGTCCGAGAGGCTTCTACAACTTTTCCGCTGGCAAGAACTACGCGCGCAGAAACGAGACCGTCAAGGGAATAGCCATGTTGGTTCTGGAGCAGACTGTGACCGCCGCCTAACAATGGACCTGCAACCGACACACATGCCGAAAGCCCAGTAACTGGCAACGAGAACGATCAGTATGTGTACGTCTGAAGATATAGGCGTGATCTCACCTGCATACTTGCCCAAGGCGAACAACGAGCGAGTGATTTCGTGTTGCATAGTTCCACCCCCGACCATCGCAGTTTTGCCATTTTGACTGAGTGTTGTAGTGTTCAGTTTCCGCATATTAATCTGAATACCATAGGGCAGTTTATTGAGCGTTGTAGTCCATCCATGGCCCCCTGTCACGGCCAAAAACGGGATGTTGAGACGACTAGCCAATGCGACCGTTGTTTGCACGTCGGACTCTGTCGCTACCTCAACCACCACGTTGTAGTCGGGAGATATGCGTGGAGAAGAGCCACGGACTTGGAGATCGTTCCAACGGGCATCCCATGGGAAGGTAATTGTGGCAGCTTCGGATAGGCGCAGGTTTAATGTAGATACTGCGAGCTTCAGATCGTCTGTTTTGCACGCAGATGAGCTATAAACGACGCACAATAGCCAAGCTGCAACAGTAGAAAAAAGCATAATAGCCAACCACTTGTGCTGACGCTCAGATGGGGAGTGTAGAATGAAGAGAAGAAGACCTCGTGAGATACTGGGCACAAGACATGCGTGTCGCTCTATGTATTGGATTAAGCCTCACAAAGCATCTGACAGGTGCCGACCGTGGGCCAGACGGTACCTTTGCTGCACTGCAAATGTCGGTAAACGGATCACGGACTTCAGCCCATAGTATAACCGTGTCGCTACCGTACCATATCGCTCATTTGACGATCTGGAGTAAAGAATGCGGACTGGCGCACCAGGGTGCCGTAGTGGCGGAAATGTCTTTCGGTGATTGTATCGCTCTTATGCAGTCATACTGTTGCGACTGTTGGATACAGTTAGTCTGGTTATCTGTGTGATGAGCCTGTTGAGCTGATTTGATGCCTGGCGTGCAGGAGTAGGAAGGTGGTAGGGTCCACCTGCCGGGCGTACGCGAAGAAGCTGCCAAGGCGGCAAAGGGGCGGCTCTCCATGGACCGTCAAGAGTAAGTCCTTCCCCATAACATCTCACTGTTCAAGCCCTTTTATCACTTCAATACCGTTACGATACTGACAAGTCAGAGGACAAGAGGTCGATGCACATAATCTCATTGTGTCAGCACTAGAGGATGAGATTTCTAGCATGGTACTTGCCTATCGTTATTGACCTTGCGGATACTCACCAACAGGACATGGTGCTCTATCAATGCAATGTCTGTCTTTGTCCATGCCGTAACGATCTGCATTCAGAACACACGCCAGTCTCCAGGTTAGCAGTGTGAGGAGCCTTTTGAGACACTTTTCGTTTTGACTCGGAGGGCCAAACTTGCTCTCAAACGAGCTTCTATGTTAGCTTTCGCTCGATGGCATTCACGCAACAAGGTTCAATGGTAGGGCCGTTGGATTCGGCACTCGAGACAATCGTATTCATAGCTCTCGCAGGCATGGCATAACGTTTGGCAGAGTATCTCTCATGAGTGTGGTATCTGCTGACGCTCATAGGTTTGCCGGCGCTGAACTCCTGGTCACTATCCTTCTCACCTTCAAATAGTGGTCTGGCAAATACTGCTGTTGCTTGCTCATAGCCACGCTCGAGATTTTGTCTACCGAATTAACGTTTTCCTTGTAAAATCTACTGCATAAATTAATGCTTATGGGGTTATCGCAAGTATTGGGCTGCATTAGGGTTCGCAACCCTCAACTAGTGGTAGCAGCATTGAGAAAGAGCAGATGTCGATATGCAACACAAGGCTTATGGGGCCATGACGCGCTAGCATATACACCCCCATGCATTCAATCGAGTTGACGCTTTCAAAGTGCCTCCATTACAGAGGTCTTCCGAGGTTGAGTTTACACGCAGAGGACTACAAGCTTATGTGGCTCGAGTACCTAAAATCTATCGAACCACTGTTCCAAGCCAGCTTAGAATAGCCTCCGCGCACTCATCAGGCGCTTCTTCAGCCCCAAAGTGTCCAACTCCGTCCCCTAGCCCATGGTTCTCGATCCTTACGCCCTCACCAACCCACTCCCTCCACACATCTGGAAAGCTGAATCTGCTACCAATGCCCGCCTCACTATACAGCAACAACACCGGGACTCTAATCTTCCTTCCCTCTTTCTGATCTTTCTCCTGTTCCTTGACATCCGTCGTAGCGCCCTCCTTATAGTCTTCACAACTTGCTTTCAGCGTATGTTCCTGTGCGAAGAACTCGCCATATACAGTCAGTGCTTCATCAGCCTTTAGCTTCTCGACACCCGTGTTGCTTTTGCCCGACCAAAGCAAGATCATTTCCTGACACCAGTTGGACGGCCCAAAAGCGGTGATCATACGTGTCGCCAAATCCACGTTTGCGAGCAACGGCCAGTGGAAATACCCCGTAACCTCCTTCGCCGCAGTACATGGGGAAGCAAAATGCTGCCATTGTGTTGAAGTCGGGACCTGGTATGGTCAGTATTTTGAAATCTCAATCAATGCATAGGATTGCATCATACGATATCGATTAGACAAACACCAAGGATGTCCAGTCCGTCTACCCCGCTGACGGTAAGGCGGTGCGCAACTCTCGCTCCACGATCGTGCCCGACAAGCACAATCTTCACGTCCCCGTCCTTACTCTTACTCTTCTTGACCTCTGTCTTCAGCGCCTCGAGTACTGCCGTTCCAACACTGAGTTTATCGTTCTGCTCGATTGGTGGACTAGCGCCATAACCGGGCAGGTCCGGAACGAAGAGCGGTGTCTGGGATGGAAACTGGGGGATTAAATGTCGCCACCTGTTCTCGTGTCAGTCTACACCGTGGGGGTATAGAGAGTAGAAAAGAGCAATCACATGTAAGCTGACTGCGGGTAGCCATGGATCAGAACAAGTATGGGATTTCTGTCGTCTGCGTTTTCTAGAGAACGCGTGTAACAGCAGACTTTCTCCTTGTTTACAATGGATTTTGAGAGACCGAGGCTGCTTAGCTTGGTGTCTTGGATCTTGAGGGCAGATATAGATGTCATGGCTGCGACGTAATACGTTTAAATCGAGAAGGTGTTGCTAGAGACCAGAGTATCGAGATGAGAGGTAAATGGGGTCAGTAATTGGTATATTTTGGCAAGTTGTACGGTGTAAGGCAAATGTCACTTTCCACGCCCTTCCGTACTGCGGGTTACATGTTGAGGTGTATGCGAGACCGAGGTATGACGCAATTACGCGATATCACGTGGATAAACTGTCAAAAAGCTTCAGTTCGAAAGCAAATAATTGTTCTTGGAGAGACAACCTGACAGAGTCGGCATGCCTCATATCTTTCGAACTACCATATACACTCTCAGGTGTGCCGTGCGGTATACCAGGTCCTCAACTTGAATACCAAGAACGCCATCGCTATGCAGAAAATATACTAACCTCTTCCTTTTGACACATCATTGCTCTCTTGCCAAGATCATCTTCTCACGCTCTGCCTTCCTTCGGACTGTGCCCTTCTTTGTGTGCCTTCTCTCGTTCTCTTCCTTCCTCTTGAGGGCCTTCAGCTCCTCGTTCTTGATCTCGCCAGCCTTCTTGACGGTCTTGGGCAGATGTCTATGTCTCTCGATACGCTTAATCTCTGGCATATGCTTGTATCGCTCCTTGAGCGCTGCGTCATACTCGAGCTTCTGTCGTAGAGCGAATGACTTGACGCCCTGTCTCTCAGAAGCCCTCGCTCTCCATAAGCGGACGTTACCGTCGTCTGAGCCGCTTAGTACGTAGTTGTTGTCGGGACTCCACGCGACGGAAAAGACGCGCTGCATCCGCTTGGTGTGGTAGACGTCCCGGGAATGGCCCTTTTGTCGCTCCCAAAGTCTCACGGATCGGTCGTAAGAGCCCGTGATGAGCTCTTCTCCAGTGGGAGAGAACTCAATCGACATGACTGCCGCAACATGTCCTTTCTGTTTGTTGTTAGTAGCTGGCCGTAGTCATGACGTGATGATGGAAAGCTTACCAATACTTGCAGTGCCCGTTTCATGTTGCGCATATCGAAGATGTATCCGTTGTGGTCTTCGGACGCGACAGCGAAGTTGTAGGCCTCCATAGGATTCCAGGAGATGCAATTTGCTGGGAAGTTGAGCACAGTGCGGTGTAGGGGAGAATTCGTTCGGGCATCGTAGAGGATGACAGCGCGATCAGTTGCGCACGATGCCAGTATCGATGTTTCGACCTGGTTGAACTTGACGTCGGTGATGGTATCAATGGCCTGTCACACAGTCAGTACATGCGTTGAATTCACCGGGCATCGCGACCTACCGATGGCCACACAAGGCTTGAGACAGGAGCTCCGGACGTCCTTGATGTATCGTATATAGAAATGACACTAGATCCAGCAGCGAAGGTGGGCAGCGAGCGGTGGTGCGAGACGGATGTGAAGGCCGAGTTGCCGTGCCATGTCGCTTTCGGCGGCGATTTGGATGGCTGTGCATATGGTTCGAACAGCTGGATCTGGCGGTCTGATCCGCACGTTATCAGTTTCTTGTCTCGCGTCCAGCACATGCCCTTGACCAGGTTCTCATGCGCCTGCGCCTGCCATTTCTCCTCCCTGCTCGTAAAGTCCCAGACTTTGACGATGCCGTCTCCACTTCCACTGGCAAAGTGCTCGAGCGAGTTGGGGTCTTTTGCGAACGAGTACACGCCGTCTACATGGCCAGGCTCGAAATCGCCAAGGAAGGGCTGCGCAAACATGCGCTCAACTTTTGTCGCATTGAGGGCTCTGGTGTATTCGCGCGCACGTTCGAACGGGTGGAGGTTGGGGTCCAGATTCCTCGTGACTTTGGCGACATTGGACCCGGGTGCCTGTGTAGACGCCGTGGACCGGCTGAGGGCCTTGATCTTCATTTTCGTGGTTGTCCAGCTCTCGACAGTCGCCGCCGCGAAGTTTTGGCGGGTCTTGAGGATTTCTAGGCATGGGCGGGGCCCGCCAGCCCCAAAGACGGTAGCGTGGCGGCGCCGGACACAACGAGGAAGCGAATATTGCACCCATTTTCCTCAACCTCGAACCGCGACCAAGTACCCATCACTAACCCGGACAACAGCCAAAATGAAGTTGTGAGTGCCCCGATATCCACGAATCTCTCTGCGATGCAAATTGGCGCCCGCGATGCGTTATCCTGTGCCCGGGGCCGCCATTTGCTGCACCCTTGA